GCCATCATCTGGGACTGAACCAGCTGATATTAACTTGCACTGACAAGGGGCAGGCTTGTTTTCTAGTTACTGATTACTAATTACTTTTTCCCTGTGCCATTCCACATTATTACAAATAACTTCATTTCTGGACATTGATGGTTTGATTTCTTTGTATGTATGGATCACTTGGGTTGTTACCAACATCTGGTGAAAATTTTATGTCATTAGCATCTCTAGTAATATATTTACTGAGAAAATGGTGACGTGTTCAATACTTATTTTACCCGCTGTATATACACAGTATACTAATCTTGTTAAATGTTACTTAACAAAGTTTTGTTGTTGGGAAGATTTACAATGGGCTGGACTATTTCATTCAGTTAAAACAGCCGCCTACTGGGGTAGCTTTCTTTTATTATTTTTGTATATTTTATTCGCAGTTGCCTTCTAATACCCAAAACCAGACCGCCACAAAAAAAGTAAGAAATAAATATAAATTGAACTGAAGCTAAACAGTAAAAAGCACGCTTGCATTAGTGTATTTTTTTGAGTAATTTGTTATGGTTTATTTTTTTCTGTCCAAATTGTTTTGGACTGTGATTTTTATTTTTTTATTTTTTTACATAAGCAATGCAAAGATTGTGCAAGAGGATCTTAAAATCCTTGATGGGCCATTGAGTTCCAATGGTAGCCTCAGGTATTGACAGAAAGAGAGCACCGATACATTCTCATATCATTTTCATCCTTATATCATGCTGGGATTGTAGCCTGGCATTGGTATGTTCTTACTCAGTGTTCCCTCTCCCGGGCTGTATATCACATCATAAAGAATACATAACCCCCCCCCCCTTTCTAAAAACAGAAGAAGAAGAAAAAAATCTTACCAGTCTCCAAGGCAATATGTGCTGAGCCCTGTTCTCTAACTCTGAACAGAAAGAGCTGAAACAAAGAACTTTCCTTAGAAGGAAAAAGAAGAAAAACAAGAAAAAAATGAGACAATGCTAATAAGTGTAAAAAATGAATGGTGACTTGTCATATTTACAAATGCGCTGAGAGGCGCCCTACTAAATGTGATAAAATGGGAAACCAATGGCACGGAAGAGAGCAGTTGTGGGCCCCCATCTCTTGCCATTAGATGTTCAGTGGAAGCTGTCAACAGAAGGCACATTTGCCTGCCAAGCTCCCTCTCTGACTGAGCTCTCTGCCTGCAGCACGCCCCAAGCTCCTCTTTGACTCAAAGGGTTCATTTCACTTCTTTTAGCCTCATTTGCATGTGGTGCTACACAAAAACCCGGCTTGCTCGCAGCCTGACTCTCATGTGTGTGTTTGAGTGATTGTGTGTTTCACTTTCTTCCCCGTGTCTGTGTGTGGGCGTGTACGTCTGTGTGCGTATACGTTTATGTTATTTATTTATTTTTGCACAAATACATGTTTGCATGCATT